GCCCTGCATTCACTCTCAGGACCCCAAAGCCCACTGCCTGGCTAGGGAGGTTTTATTAACATTTCACTATGGCACATATCAGCTTTATTTATCAGCCTGTAATTACTGCTTTTTCTTTTTGCCGTTTCATTCCTTTGTAAAATTAGGAGACCTCTGTGAATATTAGATCTGCACTTTTGCTGTGGTATCTGCCAGTATCAAGTTGTGTTTAGCATTAGTATGACACAGGACAGGAAATCAAGACCAGAGACAGGAAACTGAATTTCAGCAGATATATATTGTTTGCCCAGGTTTTATAAAATGGGCTGATGCATATTCAGGAATTGGTGCTGACATCAGAGAAACGATGATGTGGTCAGCTCAGCTATTACTTACCACCTCTTCCCTATCCCATAGTTGGGAGACGTGGCACATGGTTTGGAGAAGTGGATGGCAATTTGAGGGATTTAGTGGGGAAATTAAAGTATCACAGGAGCAGGAAGGTCACAGGGGAAATTAGAGTATTGAAGAGTGAGAGGAAGGAGCAAAATATATAAATCTATCAAAATATATTAGTTCATTGTTCATGAAACAGTTTGTTTTACACTCTTAATTAGGTAAGATGGGGGAGGCGGGTAACAACTCAGCAAGATCCTTTCTGAAGTAACAAGGCTGATCAGGAAATGTTTTTCCCTCATGAATATCCCCTTCTCGTCAGTCATTGCCGTCCAGCTCTAAAGATTAGGAGTCAGATGGCTGCAAGAGTAAGCTCCTATCTTCAGATCCCCAACGCTGAATTTTCCCAGGGGATTGCTGGCACAGGAGAGAAATAGCACAGCTGGCCAACCCTTGCACAAGAATTACTGAGGAGTATGGTGAAAAAAACCCACAAGTAGCATGCATTTGGCAGAGAGAAGGCTCCTGGTCTCGGTGGCAACAGCTGCTGCAAGGTTTGGATGCCAACCTGAGCCTTACAGAAAGATATTTCCCCCTGCAGAGATGCAAGATACTTCAGCTAATCTGGGTCTAAACTCAGAGAGAAAAAGAGAGATGGCATTTCAAACTTGCCCCTCTAAACCTGCAATCTGCCTGAACTCAAAATCTTAATGGAAAAAAGAACAGAATTAAAAGGCAATAAAATTGGAATTTAAAGACTATTCAAGCACCTAGTCCTCAACAGATAGCTGCTAGATATCCTTGCAGCTAACAGAAGTAGGCCTGGAGAGGATTAAAAGAAATAATAAAGCATGAGTAATTGGAATAAGCAAACACTAACTCTTTCCTTTCCCCTGATATTTGCTTTAGTCAGATTCATGCATATAGAAATCAAGTGAAGCGAGACCATCCTCTGCTCACTCATTCCACCCTCACAGTTCAGCACACAGAGTTCACTAATCTTATCTGGGAACTTCTCCTAAATGAAACAGAGAGAATACCAGAAAAGGCAAATAACTCATTTCCCCACTGAGTGTGATACTGTAAGAGTTTGCACTGAAAGCTGAACCTACCAGCAGGATTCCCAAAGAAACTTCTCATGGCTGTGCAACTGCACTCCAAGGGAAAGCAAGAGGGGCTGCAAACAGCTCCTGAAGGAGGGGCATTTGATTGGGAACCTCCTCAAGTCCCCCTTCCCCCCCAAATGCATTTGGCAAAATTGTGTTTAATTCTGGATTACGCTTTCTCACTGTTGCTGGAAATCAATGTTGCCTCACTCAGTCTGATGAAAACGTGCAGATTAACAATGCCTAAAAAATACCAGGTGTGTGTTTGTGCTGCCAGAGGATGTCTCACTGGCAGGTTGCACAGCTCCCCTGAACTGACCGAGGATTACAAAAGAATCACTTTCTGCTGAAATAAAGCCCTTTTTCAAACACAACAGCTAGTTAATAACTAACTGCAAGATGCACAGTCGTTTAGTACAGGAAATAAGCTCATACTTCAGTGGAAGTGCAGGAGGACATTAGGTAAACAAAATAGTGGGGCTGGGTCTTGGCCAAAATATTGGTACTCCAGAGGTATGCTGACAGCAAGCACTGCTGGATTTTTCACTGTCCCTTCGCATGGTTCACAGCCAATTCATCCCCACCTCACCAAAAATAACTGCTTTTGTGTTTTCTGTGCAATGTCTGTGCCAGAGAGGTCGGCCCTGCTGCCCCCACAAAGCCACTTCCTGCAGTGGGCGGCCACGTCAGATGGTAACAGAGCTGGCCTGGACCATACATGTGGACCTGAGAACAAATGTCCATCAGCAAAAACAGCTGGACAGGCAAGAGCATTTGCAGTGGGGCTCCTGCAGGCAGGAGGGCCTGTCCCACTCATCCAGCTCAAGGCAGACACTGTCACAGCAGCATGGAAGTTGTAGCTGCATTGCAGTTTTTTTTCTTGGCCCTTTCACAGCAGAAGTGTTGCCCTCTTAAAATCGCTCAGGGCTTTTAATCCTTTGGTAAATTCACAGAAGTTCTGTGCTGTTTTGTGCTTGTTCAGTAAAGGAAAATCTAAACTTACCCTTGTCTTCTGTGGCTGTAAAACTCAATGTTGCTGTCTTGCTTTCTTTCCTAGTTATGGCCTTGTCACTTAAGCATCAGGTGCAACAATGATTAATATTTTACTTGGCAAACTGATGCAAACTCATTGACACTACCGTCCTCCCTGGCAACTGGTACATCTGGGGTTTTCCAGAATGGAAACAAAAGGATGCTGTCAAAAGCCAACCTACATTCTCTGGGAATAATATAGTACATTTTAAAAATTACTGTGAGGTTAACTCATGGCAGTTGTGTAATTTCTGGATCACCTTTTCTACAATCAGAACCGCAGCTGTAAATTTTGGGATGTCTGTTTTGAATTAGAAAGATAAAAGGACTATAAAAGTGAGAAGCTCATTTCAATAGTTCTTTTCTTCCTCAGAATCCTTGAATTTTATTTTCTTGGGTTTTATTTTTTTTTTCTTTATTTTCTTGAAGAAATTAAACAGATCATTTGGAGGAAAGGTTCATTTTTGAAAAGAGAGGAGGTTAAGGGATGTAAAGCAAATGGAAAGGCTTTTGTGGTAGAGGACGCTGCAGTGGATGTTTGCTGAGACTGCTTTTATTCAACATCTTCACACAAAACCCGCAGAAGGGAGCGTGCACAAAGTCTCAGGGTCTGTGGGTATTCCTGACCTCCTTGGGGCAGTCAAATACCATGCCAATGACAGTGAAGTCCTGCAGGATCTCAAAAAACTGAACAAAAGGCACAATATTGGCATAGGAGCTTTAGTGTGGATAAACCTCTAAGTGGTTGGAGGAAAGTGCACTTGGAGGAAAACAATCCAAAGCAAAGCTCTTTGATGCTGACACTGGAACTGGCTGTCACGGCCCAAGAAAGAGATCCTGAAGTCGCTGTTAACAGTTGTCTGAGATCATCGGCCCAGCGTGCATCTGCAGCCAACAAAACATTGGGCAGCAGCAGGAAGGTTGTTGAGGGAAAAAGACATCATTTTGTTGCTCTGTGTATCCTCAGCATGCCACAAAATGAGTCCAGTTTCCACGCTCGGTCTCTCACAGTGAATAGGAATATACCGTTAATTATCGGTGGAGGATGGAATTAAAACATGATTTGTGGAGTCTATGTAGATGCAACATGTTGTAGCTGCCTCCAGCCCTACAAAATGGCAATGAGAAATGTGTGTGCTTTGACATCCTTGAGTAGGAAGTTGTGGTTCTTTCTGAAACAGAGACATTAGATCAAAGTCTTTGGTACCATCTCCTGGCTTACAGGTAGGTACAGATACTCCCTTTGTCCTTCTAAAGATTTTCCAAGTAGTGTTGTATCACTATCAGGGGGTTGGCTCAGGGTTTACAAATGCATGATGACATTTTATGAGTCACATCCTAATGCTTTAGGAGAACCCCAGGACTTGATTTAGGGTTATTAACAGGCCAAGAGGTTTATTTAAAATGCCTGTTTGTNCTGTTAACAGTTGTCTGAGATCATCGGCCCAGCGTGCATCTGCAGCCAACAAAACATTGGGCAGCAGCAGGAAGGCTGTTGAGGGAAAAAGACATCATTTTGTTGCTCTGTGTATCCTCAGCATGCCACAAAATGAGTCCAGTTTCCACGCTCGGTCTCTCACAGTGAATAGGAATATACCGTTAATTATCGGTGGAGGATGGAATTAAAACATGATTTGTGGAGAGTCTATGTAGATGCAACATGTTGTAGCTGCCTCCAGCCCTACAAAATGGCAATGAGAAATGTGTGTGCTTTGACATCCTTGAGTAGGAAGTTGTGGTTCTTTCTGAAACAGAGACATTAGATCAAAGTCTTTGGTACCATCTCCTGGCTTACAGGTAGGTACAGATACTCCCTTTGTCCTTCTAAAGATTTTCCAAGTAGTGTTGTATCACTATCAGGGGGTTGGCTCAGGGTTTACAAATGCATGATGACATTTTATGAGTCACATCCTAATGCTTTAGGAGAACCCCAGGACTTGATTTAGGGTTATTAACAGGCCAAGAGGTTTATTTAAAATGCCTGTTTGTCTTTCCCTAGAGGGGACTTACATTGCCTCCCCGTGCAGCAAAATTAAACATCTATTTATTGTTTAAACCCACTGGCATTAGAAGTCTCTTCTATTAAATGGCATTCTACTGCCAAAATTTATCTGCAAAGCAACAGAATCACAACCCTTAAAAAGTAATTTAACCCGCACAGCTGTTGGACCCAAGAATGAGACTGAAAAAGCAAGATCACACTGTTTGAAAAGAGCAACAGATTTAATTACTTCAGTGAAAGTCTGCACTGACCACTGTTTTGGTACCCAAGTCTTGAGCAAGAGCCTCAGCAGCGAACAGACAGTGCATCTTGACCGTGTCATACCCATGTCTGGTGATATTTGCCAGTTGTAGAAATGAATTTGAGAAAAGTTATGCAGTCAGTTACCTTATAATTCATTTTGCTGCCTTTCTGTTGCCAGCTGACTTGACTGAATGGAACAAACATTGCAGTTACTGAGCAGACCCTTGCAGTACACTGAATTTTGAATGCTTCACACATTAAAGTTGTAATTTCTGGGACACTCAGAAAGCTCCTTTTTCTTTTGCACAGGCTTCTCCCAGAGAGCAGAAGGCACTTTATTTTTTGTATAAATGTGCCACACATTAAGGCCACAGCAAAAGAAAACTGCAGTCTGCATAACAAAAAGGATGCAGAGCAGGGTGGATTAAGGGCAGTGCAGTATCAAATTGGACAGGAGAGACTGTTCAGTCTTCAGCTGGGAAAAACATAACAAGACACATGATCTCTATGTGCTTATGTGAGACCTTCAGCTTCTGTGTATCAAAGGAAACAGACGTTGCTTGAGATGCCTGATAAATCCTTTCTTACCAGTCCAAACTGTACATGGCAAAGGTGGACTGCATCATGTAAACCTACTGTGATTTTACTGACTTCTGTGACCATACTGTTAAATACTCCCTTCTATTTATTCTAATTGCATATCTAATTAAACAGTTCACAAAGGGGGGTGTGGAGGAACATTAGACCATTAGCAGGACTCATGGCACAGGTGTGTGTTGCTTTCTGTCCAGTACTGTGGGATTTCACAAACAATTCAGAAAGAAAAACCACAGATGTTTGCTGGAGCATGTAACACCTTCAACTCTGAGGAGCAAGAATTTTGGCTAATAGAACTGCCTAGTGCCAGACACTAATGAATAGACACTTTGTACATCTTACACTTGGCTCTGGTAAGGTGTATAATGAAATGCAACACACCATTTTGTCACTTGATTTAGCCCTTTTTGCTACCACATAGTGCTTGTACATGATAAATCTTCTAGCTTATGCTCTCCTCCCATCTGCCACCTTTTTTTTTTTCTCATTTTTCCTCTTCTTCTTTCTTTACTTATATGTTTATTAGAGTTTATTCAGCTGATCTCTGCATTAGTCTCAGCATTAGGCAGCTTGGAAATCATCGTACCTAGAAATGCACCACACACTGCTGGCAGCGCAGCTACAGAAAACAAGCAGTTGAGAGCTTCAAACAGCAGCCCCTGGTACCCATCCTAAATTAAGCATGGCTCTAGGAAAATGATTATTCACCTGACAGTGCAGAGAAGCTGCTCATCCATGCAGGAAAACTGGAGCAGACAAGTCTGGGTGCAGAAAGCAATTAAGGAAACAGGTATCTAACCCTGCTGGGCTGAATGTGTGTCAGCACAAGGAAAAGGCATTTAGTCTTTTCAGTAGGTCTGCATGAAATAGAGATGTTGACCACCAATAAACTCAGCCTGCTGGCAGTGGTGTTGGACATCCCCTCTCTGCCCACATGCAGACAGGAGACTGTACTCCTCTGTCTAATCCAGCCAGGGCTCAGGGTGGGTTTTGTCAGCCTCGAAGCTTCAGGACTTGAAACAAAAGCCAGCTGACAAAGTTTCTTTGCAACACCAATGTTTAGTTTCATGCCTATGTTCTTATCCTTTCCTGCTATTATACAATGTTTTTCAATTTGTTGGACTGAGCAACTGTCATACAGCACTGAACTCATGTTTCCATGTCTTTAGCAGCGTTGCACTGAAAGGAAGATCCCAGTCTAACTGCTGCACAACTGCACAAAGTTTTTACAGACCCCAGCAGCGCCAGAACTGCAACAGTATGGTGACTTTAGCAAGGCCTGCAGTCAGCTCTGAAGCCAGCTGTTGGGGATACAACTCCTGGACTCAAAGTGCACGAGTCTCTGTGCATGAAAAGCTGCTCAGTCCCTAACACACTTATGCAGCACGTCTAGATGCCTGGACTCAGCCAGCCAGCACTGCTGCTGAAACCCCCTAAATATATGGCTGCAGAGAAAGCTCCTAAAGCAGCCCTGCCCTCATGGAGGCCCCACTGCACAGCATCTCTTTCCTCCCAGCAGAGCAGCGTGTGACTGCAGTGCTGGCCTCCACCACATCATTAGCCTTCAGGTTAACAGTGCTCAGCCTCTCCTCTTTAAGGATGCTGACTCTAGAAGCACTCAAATATTTGACATTTAGACTGATGAGTCACACTCAGTTACTCAAGAATCGGTATTTTAATTTGTTCACCTTCCCAAGAACCACTTACATGTTGAGGAACAGAAAGTTTTACTCTGGGGGAGGAATTCTTCACTGTTTTCAAGAGGATTTGTACCACATTTCCAATAGGAGTTCCAATGTAAGGTCAAAATTGCACATGTGCAGGATTTTTTAAATGGTTAAAACTTTGTAGAAATGTAACCAACTCACTTCATACTCCAGAGATTATGTGAGGAAAGCACTAAAGAGATTTCAGAAAACACCAGAACAGGCAAGCACTCAGCCCATCAGAACATGGTACCCTATTATGGTACTAAGGGAAAAAATGAAGTGTGCTCTGTGATGCTCATCGAGACTGCTGGCACGTTTGTTTACTCAAATCCAAGTATCTGTTCTCATTATCATGTTCAAAAAGATCACATACATAATGAGAATTTTTAGGTACAGTACAGGAAATAGTACATACCTCAAAATAAGATCTGACCACTTCAAATCAACATTCAAAAATGTGACACGCAAAACAAAAGTCACCAGGGTGTAAAAGTCAACACAGACTCAGCTTCTACAACTTTGCTTCCCAGGAATAAAAACTTCCCACGGGGCCCACTTCCTTGATGCCCAAACTCCAGGAAATACTTTTGACTAGGGAGACTCATCTGAAACTATAAGACTTCATCTCTCAGACCATTAATGCAGTTTTCAGTGAACTTCTATTCCTTCAGATGCAGCCAGGCTTTGCTGCTGACAGAAAAAGGAGTCTCAAAAGGAAAACCCACCCCAGACATGGGTTTATGACTACAGCAGCACTGGTGTACAGCACTACTCACAGTGTAACTGTTGAAAGAATGGACACCCATGAGAACACAGACATTACAGCCTCGAGATTAAGATGAGCTCAAATGTGTATTTGACAAAAATACAGAAATATTCAGTGTCATAATAATACAGAAGTTACTTTGCTTTGGATAAAAGCAAGGTATTCAATAATTTAAGGTTAAAACAACTCTCCATATGCATTGGTACTTGGCCAAGTAAAAAAAATATCCAGTACCTTTACACTCAAGACAGGCAGAAAAGACAAACTAACATATTTGACTGCAATTTCAAGTAGAGGTGCCCCTACTACAACACTCCACCTACAAATCCTTTCTCTACCTATGCCGCCTTTTCTACTTTTTGAGCCTTCTGCCCAAGTGCAGACCAGCTGGCCAAGACCTCAGCCTCTGAAAGCTTCACATCGAGAATATGCAAAACATCATCCTCAGTATTAACCAGTCATACCAACAACCCTTAAAAAAAAAACACCTTTACTGCTCCAATCATCTGAAGAACCCTTAAGGGTGCAGGTTAAAATGTCAGCTTCTTAGCAAGGCCTTTCATCCAGCCCTGAGGTAGTTTCTGTCCCAGGACATCAAGTGCTCAATCTTGCAAAGGCCGCAGTTAAACAGACTGGGTTTATTAAAAAACTGCATTCTGCCACCCCACTCTTTGGGTTTTGCTTTGTAGTCATTTACATGTTAATAAATCAAAGCTATTTAATTTAAGGAAACCAACATGACAGCCATTAATGCAACCCTGCCAGACAAGCAGACAAGTGCCATAGGAAAGGAGGGTAAGAGCTCTGTCTTTTCCTTCCTTCCTTTTCTGTTTCTATCTGTTCCCAAAGCCTTTCCTTGTCCATGCCAGGTTTTTTTTGGCAAAATCAGCTAAACCACATTAACAGCCCAGGGAGGCAGGAGTTATTTAAGACACATAGAGCCTAAGGCCACATAGTAAGAAAGGTATGCCTCCTCCCTCCACAGCGGGAAGAGCTCTCCAGCTCTGGTGATGATGTGTGGGGGTTTAGTTTTTTTAATAGATTCTGGACTCAATTGGCATAACCTCCCCACAGAAGTGTCCTGTGGTCTGGGGAAGTTGGCTTCACTCTGAGACTGCAGGTGAAACTAAGGTTTTCTGGCAGCAAAGACAACCCTGCCACCCCCCTTAGTGCACTTTGTGTCATTCCCTAGTCTATTAAGAAAGCTCTTGCAGAGACCATTTTCCTAATCCTATTCTAAATACAGGTTTGGATAATATGTTCTTGATACCATATGGAAGTAGGGTCAAGTTTCAACACTGCTGTAAAATCAAAGGTAAAGTTGCCCTCTAACCCAATCTTATTATCAGCCTTTTCTGTTGCCTGTTCATAGCTAGCAATTTTGAATTCATTCTTCTACAGAAGCCACGCAGCACAGTAGTGTAACAGGCCAAACATGACACCTGCAGAAAAGGCAGCATAATCAGAGATTAAGCTGCATTTTGAGACCATGATTTCTTCCCTGCCACTGCCTTTTACATGGAAATCTACCCAGCTTTGTGACTTTAAAACCTCTCCAAGATTTTAGGATCTACCTTTCGATATACATGTATTTGAAAATAATTTAATACCTATTTCCCAATAATAATTTAATACCTATTTCCCTATTTTACATGGAAATCTACCCAGCTTTGTGACTTTAGAACCTCTCCAAGATTTTAGGATCTACCTTTCGATATACATGTATTTGAAAATAATTTATTACCCATTTCCCAATGAAGTACATTCTGTGCGTCATTTTAGTTTCATACTCAGTGAGAGGGGTACACACACTTTACAGGACCAAAAATTTAAACCATGACTATTTAGTAAATTATGCATTGTAGTGATTGAAGGACAACAAGCACCAGAGAAAATACACATGCTGAAGCCTAATGTATATACTACATTGGGAAGTCTTCAGTGACACGACAAAGGATTTGTGGGTTTTTTTTCCCCCCAATTACAAGTGAGCAGAGGATTTGTCAGACATTCATTTTGTAGCTTCTACTGTCCACTCTACGCCTCCTTCCTCTTGATGATCAGAGGCCCAACGTTGTCGCCAGTTTCCTCGTTGTGCTTTGTGTGAGAGCCATCACAAAGTGGGAACTGAAAAAAGAAAATATAAACACATCTAAAGTACATCCAGAGACAGAATTAAGAACCTAGACTGAAAGTTTGTTAGACATCTTCTCATTAAATCCACTGTGACCCCAGACTACAACTTTTGTGCTGGCAATTCAGGTGTCCCAGAGTTTTGGCTGAATGCTAGATTTACCCTTGTTACTATAGAGTGGACAAGAGACTCATTCTAGAAAAGCAGCCACTAACCTGAACTCTGGTGTTCCTGCCTCAGGCCAGCATAAGGAAAGTGCAGCCTGAGCAGACCTTCAACTATAACCTACCTGGAGCACCTTGCTCTCAACCTTGCCCCACACTCCATTTTCCCAGGTGACAGCCAGAGTTGAGTGCAGTACCAGATGGTAAGTGGGGTGAGAAAGAGAAACACGAAGAGATCCTTAGCTCCATTGTTTCCCTGTTTTTCCATAGCATATGATAAGAAAAAGGACAGTTTCCTTAGCTCACCTCTTAAATGAGAGACACAGGTACATACTAGTCCTGACTCCAGCCAGCTGGAGTGGTGAGCCAGCTTTGCTCCATCCTGACCCAGCTTATCTCATCCACACAACCATCCCTTTGCACAAGCTGGCTTCCACATTATACTCTGACTGGCTAAGGGAAATAAGCTGCACTTCCTCAGTGCTGCCCTGAACAGCCATGTCAGTTGGAAGTAATTTCAAGAAATGTTTGTTCCTTTTAAAAAAAAAAAAAAAAGCCAAACCCCACCCTAGAACAGGCTGGTCAGAGCAAGAACTACAGGGACAACTCTAGCCAGCTGTAACTGCCCAAGTCCCAGACTGGTGACAACCACTCTGTTTCTGGGCAGCCCTTTTCACACACAAGAGCCAAAAGACATTCTGTGAGGCAGCAAGAATGAGGTTAGATCCCACCACTTCTCAAGGATGTATTTCAGGGCTATGCCTCCTCTTATAGGAAACTCTGGAGACAATCACAGAAGTCACACACTGGTATTTTGCATTCAGTTACTATTTTGTTTGCTTAGAAGTAATGGGAATCGAAGTTGGGCACTACTTCATTTTTGCCTTTGCAACAGCAGTATTCCCTTGCAGTACCATCACAGTTGGTCTTCAGTGCTCCACCAATCCCAATGTTCATGCCTGAGTCACAGCCTTTTAAAACATTAATACCCTATCACCCATGCTTAGAATAAAAAATTTCAAAGTACTGCACAAAACCAATATAATGAAACAATATACAGAGCTTTAAAAATAACCTCACCTGCTCTGTAGGGTAGTGTTGGAAGGGAAGGAGAGGTCAGGTGGGGTTTTTTGTTTTTTCAGTTACAAAATGTTAAAACCTACACCAAAAGTCTCAGGTGATGTTTATGAATAAAGAAACCTTGAATTCAGAGAATGCTCATGTAAGCTGATCCATGCAGAAACTTTATCATCCCATCAGTCATTTGTGACTCAATGAGTAAATAGTGACAGATACTTGGACAAAATCTGAGCAAACAGGAATTTATGTTCATGAGACACCGACCAGCTTCCAACCCAGAAGTTCCTGGGCCAGTTGTTTTTCCATGCAACACTGCAGTAAGCTGGTCTTCACAGAAGCATCAACACAGCTTCCATCAGACATTAACATTTGCAAGCTCCAAGGAGGCAAGCCCAAGGTCCAGCTACAGCAACATCATCACTTCAACTGTGCAGGTGACAAAAATAGCAGGATTCATAGGCTTCAGATAGCATCAAGACATCTTTAACAGCTACCAATGCTGACTGCTCTGAATTCATCCTGCTGGTCAGCTGGGCCCAGAAACACTGGCTCCCAGGGGCTGGAACACCAGATTTCAGTTTCTCAGGAAAGAGACCAAACCAAACCCCCTTTTCTGGAGCACCTGCTTGGTGGTCACCTTGAAGCCCAGGTACTGAATAGATGAATCCCTGGCCTGACACAACGTGTTCATCCCTGATTAACATAAAGCAAGCTAGCAATAGTGGTCAAAGCTCAAACCCTGAGGGAATTGTGCACTATCTGGACAGCTCAGCTGATTTCCCTTCACACCAAACAGGCTTGGATTCTCTACCTATATTTCTGCTGATAGTCTGCAGCAATATTCCTCAACCCACAGACTGGGGACTAACACTTCTCTGGAAGACACAGAGGCTGCAGGTCATTGTAAAAGAAAGGAAATTAAGTCTCCCCTCCCCTAACTCACACAGTTAAAAATGAAGACAAGGAAGAAAACAAGTGTTCTAACTTTAATTACAGTTTAGTTTCAAGACAAAACTACTGCCTCTACACTGATAAGTTTGAACACTGGGTTTCTTCACAAAACTTGACAACTCCACTGAACAGAAAAGGGTCATTTATTAACCTATTATTAACAGATAATTACACCCCAAGACAGATTTATTTGACGATGCCATATGTGGGGGTTTTTTAAACACATACACTCCACAAAGACACTGGCCAGCACAAAAGCCTCTGAAGTACACTATTTTGGAAAAAAAACCCAAAACCAAAAAAAACCAGCTGCAAATAATCCTGCTCTTTTTCAAGAGTTACTCCAAAACACCCTGGTATAGTCCAACTGTTTTGTTATTCCCTGTAGAGGAGGAACACCCTGAGGTGTAAGGGCAGCAGAGTAGCCTATGGTTCCTAACACTAGTGGCTCTATTAACAGCTTCATGCCTCAGGTGAGGTGAAATCTGATGAGAAGTACACACCTTGATACAAAAGGACATCTCTTCTAAATTTTACACACCACTTATGTAACAAAAACACAGCAGGTACTTCATGCATTTGAAGTAATTTTGATTTCCCACACTGGAAGCACACACATTCCACATTTTGACACCATATTATTACAAATTTTAACAGTTTGAGAACTGTGAGAACCAGATAATGCTATCTGACAATTTCCAAAGATGACAAGTAGGTGAGAATGATGTATTTGATTACTGCTTGGCAATACTGGAACATGAGAAGAAGCACATACACCATCTTAAAGATTAAGCTACCCATCCTTCGAGGTCAGGCCATCAGGGCAAGAGGAAGGCAGCAAAACTGTAATCTGCTCTCTTTGGAACAGAACATTCTAACTCACATACTCATCATTAAACACCAGTAAAAGAAAACAAATGCTTCCCAAAATTTCCACTGACTTCCTTAATGCCTTTACAAGACTTTTCAGATCAGAGTTCTAAGAACGCTCACATTATAGCCCCATCTACTTCCTTTTGTGTGATTAGAGCCCTAATTCAGTAGGACAATATGTTCCTGAACTGTGCAAAAATGTACTTCTTAAGGTTTTTATTTTACACACAAAAAAGATAATATCAAACAATGGCAAATAACTGGCAGGAGCTGCAGTGCAACCACTATAACCAGACACTATCTTCTACTTCTGTTCAGAAAATCGAGTAGGAAGCAGAAAGCACAAATGCCAAGGTTCAAGTTAGTTTTGGATGTTTTTCAGTTCAGACCCTAGACAGAACAGAGAAGACAAGACCATCTCCACAGGATTATTTCAGAATCGAGTCATGATGCTGCTTAATTCTCAGCAGTATTTTACTGTTAAACCAAATCCTGCTACAAATGTGCAAGCTCCTGAGTTACCCACAAGGTAATGAAGTCAGATCTGACAACAGCAAGAACCAGAAGTTATAGCACCTGGAAAACAGCTGAGTATGGCCTGATTAGACCAGTGTCTAAGACTTGACAAGTCTGTTATTCAGTTCACTGATGTACAGAGAGCTAAATTTCAAGGCAGTTATCTGGCTTCGAAGGCCTGTATGATTTCAGTCTCCACACATTAGCATATTCTAAGAAACCTTTCAAACATGCACTAGAGATAAATAGACAGGACTAAATCGTGCAATTCGCCTTCTCTCATTGCACATCCCAGAACTCCCACTATAGATAAACTGTACACATCTCAGCTACATCAAGAGTCACGCATCTCTAAGGTCAGATTTAAATCTGAGGGAGTGTTATTGAAAGGCTAGGTTACCACTAATTTTAGGCAACTGAGGCAATTCAACTTCAAATGCAAGTAAGCTGGACCAGTGTCTAGGCCAGAGTTTTAATTGCTTAAAAACAGGAGTTCAAACTATGCCATTGTGATTGCACTGCCATGCACTATGTACTAGTAGCAAGCTTATGACTGAGTAGGCTTCCAACTTTCTCCAAAAAAAGGTATTTAAGGTCCTCTCAGACTGTGGTTCCTGAGCTCCTACTGCCAACAGGCCAACAGTTTTGGATAAGCCACAGTATTAGCACAGGTAGCACACAAAATGTCACATGAAATGTTATCTGTCATTCATGATCATGCTCGAGACAGTGGCTCTCCTTTAAAGAGATCTTCTTCTGCACAGCTACAGAAACATTCTTCCATTATTAGCACTGATCTGCAGTCTTTACTCTGAGCACCAGCATAAATCTGCATAGTTTTATGGATTAAAATACTGCTACATCTCACTGCAGAATAGTTTAGGTGAAAAAGAAGTTAGTTTCCTCTAAATAAAGCAGTTTAAAAATAGTTTTGCTGAAAGATGCATGCACATGAACTACATTGGACCATTCAGTCATCTCTTACCTTCTTAGACCTCCAACAACGACAGTACACAGCCTTGTCTCCCAGATCTTCCATGTCAAAAGCATGGACTACCTTGGGGTTATCCTTCTGAATATGGGGATTCACCATTGCTTTGCAGCATTTGTCTTTAGAGAGAAATTTTTTGTAAGCTAGATACCCAACAGCAGCTGCTCCAGCAGCTAAGGAGACTGCAGCAATCCATTCAACTAGAATAAAAGAAAAAAAACGAGAGACTGTCAATTTTTTGACCACAATGTCCTATTAAAACTACTCAATAGTAAAAGTCTTCATGCTTGCAGCAACATCTTTACTTTCCAATAAATGTTTTTGTTCTGTAGTAGTAACTCCATACTTCAGAAGAATATTTTCCTTTGACACTCACCCAGTTAATCTACTCCTTTCTACCAATCAGAGTTCTACTTCACCCAAGTCCCTTCTACACAAGGGTGAGGATTAGCTTGGCAGAGTTTTGGGGGTTTTTTTGGGTTGGTTGTTTTTTGTTTTTGTTTTTTTTTTTTAACCTTTTATTTGGGAAACTGATATCAACATGGGTAGTATATTGTTTCAAAGTTCAGCATATTAAACCAGCTGTAAGTACACTCTGTAGCAGGAAAAAACTTGTATTGTCTGTTTGAGTTGCAGGAAAGTCACTGAAGAACAACAGCCAGCACCAACAACTCAAGCAGGATGCCCCCAAGGCAGAGGCAACGAGTAGCTTTTAATATAATGCATCTTGTAACTAAAAACAACTAAACCCAGCTGTTTGGCAACGGAAAAATTATTAAATATATCGCTTCCAGTAATAAAAGCCATCTTAGATTAAATCCTACTGTTGTGGAGAGGATAGAACAAAGGTCCAAGAAGATTATATTTAAGAATCATAGCACACATTTATTTTTTAGAGACAAGAACCCTTTGTTAGTTCTTGCTACTTTCCATGAGCAACTGCCTTGCTGTATTGCCAAGGTGAGATTGGTCTAAAAGGATCAAGGTTTTCTGCCCCTGCCCATAGACTTTTCCAGAATCCATGCCAAGCCCCTTCCTCAGCTAAAACACTGTGTTAGCTCATAGGCACCATGCTGATCCCCAAGGGCCTGGAGGTAGCAGTATGTGGAATCAGACAAATATCTGCACAGTGTCTGCAGTCATTTAAGATCAGGGAAAGTAGGCATTCCTTTAGGGTCTTACTAAAGGGTAAAAGATGCAGAAATTCTTCAGAGTTCCTTTCTTTAGTAAATGATGCAGAAGAGACCAACATACACTGAGACTTCCCCCGCAAATGAGTGACAAACCCTCCCTGTAACAAGGTGATATTAAGATACAGAAAACCATCATTAACATGGAAGAATTTTGTGCATATTTCCCTGCTTCCAAAGTCCCTAAAACAATAAAAGCCCCAGAGACCATGTGGCGAATTCTGTGTTTTATACCCCTCCAGTGAGTCCTCACCCTTTATCTCCCCCTTACAAACTAGCCAGAGTAATGCAGATTTTTAATAAGGTAAAGAAGCGAGGAGGTGAAATTAAAGAAGGGGTTCTATGAAAATCCGCTTTAATTTAGCACAACAGCCCAATCTAATCAAAAAACCAGCCAAAGTTTAAATTCAAGGCAGCAGGTTCTCCCAAGGAAACCCTTTGCCTGGCTCACTTGAGCAGGGCTGTGGCAGGGAGGAGGTACTCAGCAAGCTCAGGGACAAGTTGAGCCCGACAAGTTTAGTGATCCCTGATGAAATGTCACATGCAGCTACAACAGCAGCAGGCAAAACCAAGGCACTGCCCATTCTGGGGCTTTCAGGAAAGCAGCAATTACAAGGACTGCCCAGGCTGCTAGCCAATGCACTACCGATGGAAAAAACCTTCACCTACAATTTTAAATGAGTGCTGAAGGGACGGTGGTAGACTGGATCCATTTCCCTATGGAATCTCAGGGGAGGGAGGGACTTTAATGAAGACCAAGGATGACTCCTGAAACTGAAGCACCCTTTTAAGGTGCTGCACCTTAAGGAAGGTGATCTTTTCTTGCACCTCTCCAAAAGTCCAGGTCAACTTAGCAAACCAGAAGAGAAAAAAAAAAAACACATTTGATGATATTTCTGTGACTCACACAGCAAGTAGGAAAAGTCTGTACTAAAATCCAGCAGCACAGTCAGAAGAGCTGTTCTGCACATCTGCAGCTAACCCAGATCCTTCTGACCATCCCTTGGGCCAGCCCTCACATAGAAATACAACAAGCAGAGATGATTAATTTGTTATCTTGTATTGCTGTGATCCTCTACCTCTTCTCCCAAGGGCCAGAGTCATCTGTTACACACTCGGGCAACTTGTATACATACAAACAGCTTCAGGTATTTTTTCTCATAACAGAGCAACGTCTTCTCCACTGTATTAGCTTTTTTTCACTGCTTCTCTGGAGCTGTGTCAGGGTAGAGAATTATATCAACTGATAATACATTTAAAGCAGTCTATTTTTTAAATTCTAGCACTGCCTTAATAAACATCATGAAATTTTAGGAGAAGTTTTTTAACTTAATCAAAAGACTCTCCCTTAAATCATCTGCAGGGTTTCAGAGGCAGTAAGTTTTGTCCTCAACTGTTCTCTTGTTTCACAAACAGATCTGGAAAAGCTGAATGCTCACTTCATCTTTCTAAGTCAACCATAAAATGCACCTGGAAGGAAAACACTTTTCAGATGATTTTAAATGCTGTTTCAAGAGATCTCTGGTGCCAATTCAACAGTTTGCTGCCAAACTCACAAGGTCACGCACAAGGCATCTGTTAACAGAGTGAAACTGGTGTGGAATATCAAGGTTTTTTTATTTCTTTAAAAAAAAAAGCGGTAGGAGCAACTTTTGAGTCACTATTAAAGAATTCCCAATTCTAGTATAATACAAAAACACAGTGATACAAGTGACTACAAAACAAGACACTACAGGCTTGTGTAACATGACAGAAAAATTGTTTCCATGTCATAATCACTAAACAATGGAAAACAGTTCGGCTAAAACTCCAGGAAAATTAACAGGCAAAGAGAAGAGAAGGGAAGTCCCAGGAGGCAGCACACAGAAGTAAACAAAAAATCAGAAGATGAGAACAGCAACAAGCCAATGATAGAAATTTTTTCTCTTCTGTATTCTTTGGATATATCCTAATGGAAAAGAGATTTATTTAGATCAGTTTCTCCCCTCTTCTCTAAACATCTAGAACACTGCTCGGGGTGTTTCCAGATCCAGGTTACAGAGGTAGTTTTTGGATCTGCCAGAGAGCTCAGACAGATTTTATCTGCAGGAAGAACAGGCCTTTGCCATCTGCACTGAGAAGCACAAGAAGAAACTGAGGTGGTCTTACGTCCACCTGGAGTACAAGATCCTTGTTAGGACACAGATCAATTTACATTCCAGGAACTGGCAATATGAGAGAGAGCTTCATCCCAAAAAGTTAGTCCAAGACAGTCTTAAGAAGCAATTTTCTCATTACCTCTGCTGCTTAGAAAATATTTATATTATTCAAAAGTGACAGAGTAATAACTCCAAACATGAAAACCCCTGCTTTATGTCTCCAGAAGTGCTTGTAACTTTCAAGCATTTTTCTCCTCATTTTGCTGCCAATTAAGAGGATACTATTGCAGAAGAGTTGTTTATGATAGTCCAGTAGTGTCACTGTCCACAACAAAAAGCCATGCTGAAGAGTCATCCAGGACAACTGGCTGTGCAAAAAGCCTAACAGGAAAAGCCAAGCAGTCAAGCTGACAAAAATCACTTCTACCACTCCACAGCATCCACAAAACATGGGATTATGACTGGCAAGTTTAACTTAACTGAAGCCATAAAGAGGCCACCTGAGGGAGAAAGAATGTTGGATTTTGCCAGTTAGCAGCACAAGACAAGTCACTGTGATCAGTCGATGTGGGGTCACTCCTGCAACCACCCACACCTCTCACAACAAAAAGCATTAGCTGCGCTACTCACTGCCTTCCAAGGGGCACAAATGCACAGAAGTAATTAACTCCGAAGTCACTACCAGGAATTAAATCTCACAAAAATACAGTAAAGTTCTGGCGTCTGGTTTTTAGTAGTGGAATAAACGATTTCAAAATTTCATCAGCCTGAGACGCACGCAAATTGGAGAAAGAACTGTGACCGGCCAGTCACCAGGCACTTTTCAAGTTTAATCTTGTCAGAAATCACAATAACCTAACCTTGTCTCCTCCTAAACACAGAGGCTTCTAGGACTGCTCCCATCAGTTGTTCCCCCTGCTTCCCTGAGACAAGAAGGATATTTGCAGTCTGATTAGGAGCATGCTCTTCTCCCATCCTCACAAAGTTTTTCTTCTCAGTTCCTAATGTATAGGAACTGTTCTAATTCTTGCAAGCTTATAAATGACAGCAAGCTGCCCTTAGGAACACAACCTGGATGCAAACTATTACCCAAGTCATCCTCAGTGCTTTCATTGTTTTAATAAGCACGGCCTTCCATCACTACAACCCATTTTTTATTAATGCCTTTGCCAACATCCTCTGTACCAGCAGTGTACACCCTCCACTCCAAAAGAAAAACAAGCCAAAACTATCGGCCCACTGAATGAAGCACATAAACCACGAGCAGCTTTGCAAGCGGAAACCACAGTCAAGCAGGTGAAGCTCACTTCTTAGAAAACATTAGGTAATTGGGACTCTATTCTGCCCTCCAACCACCCCAACTCCTTCATCCCATTCGGTTGTGCAACAGCATTTAAAACAAGTAACGCTATCTCAGGCACGGTTCGGGTCAATAATTACGCAGCGCAAATGCCACCGTTACCTCTGTTGTACAGTATCGGCCTTTGAGAGCCAGGCAAACCTCCTGAAATTTACAGGTTTTCATGACATTTACACTCAAACGCGTGGAAAGGCAGAAATAAAACAAAGGTGCCTGAAACGGGCTGTCTCTAGCACAGATAAAACCTGGCGAGCGGCCGGGTCCGCTCCGAGGGCTTAAGTGCCCGCAAGGGCCCGGCGAGTAGCTCGGCGGGTGCGCACCAAGGGGCCAGGAGATACTCAAGGCCCGCGGGCCG